TGTAGGTAAAGGTTGAGGGAAGTCCTGACTGGAAACCAGCCCCAGACACACGCACAGACAGACACAAACACGCACAGCCCTCTGCAAAACAGCCCTCACTCCCCACCATGACCTCCCATGGTGGTTCACCTGGCCAAGCCCCAGAACCCCCCAGGAACCAGCCCCTGAGTCACTGTGTGGGCTTGTGTCAGGCAGCCCACTTCTGCCTCCGAAGGGCCCCACCCACCTGGCAGAGCGGGTAGGACCAGGGGCCTGGCAGCGGCCCAGACAGGGCCATCCTGGGCAACTCTCAGGCGGGCACCGTGGCTGGGAACTGCCTGCACATTCCACAGGCCCCTGGCAGCCCTTTTCAGGAACCAGGCCACAGTCAAGCCAAACATCAACCATCCAAAGCAACATTGGACACATCATCAGGAAACCACAGATCATTCCCAAATTTCACCCCAAACTCCTGCCAGCCAACACTACCACCCAATATTGGAATTGATAACTGGGAGCTGAATCGACAGCTTTGAGTCCCCCTTCCTTTCGCTCTCTTCCCCATCCCTACCCCAGCCACGGGACAGAGGAAGGAGGGTGATCCACCCACGGGCTCATTCGGAACTGTACTTCTACTCCCCAATTTCCTGGGGTCTCCTCTCCAGAGCGGACAGGGTAACCCCTCCCCACCTCAGAACTCCCCTAGGATCCCCGTCTCCTCACTTCCCCCCAAATCAAAGTGGTCCCCTCTGCCCCCAGCCTCTCAAGCCCGCACGATCAGCCACTCAGCAAATATTCTCCGGGAGTAATTGGATGCGATGATACAAGGGCTTTTCAGCTCCTGAGTGGAAGTCTCTGGATGTCATTTAATGGCACAAAAAAATAAAAGGCTCCGGCCTCCCGCCCACCACCGCCAGGACATCATTAATCTCAGCAGAAAGGCATCAGCGCTCCTATCACGGCAGCCAGCCGGGAAGAGCCAGACAAATTACAGACCCAAGCCTGGCGCGCAGGGGGGCGGTTATTAGGCTGGCATTCAACTTCCGTTTTTTCTTCAGGGCCACCGTCCCCTGACAAGAAGCAGTGGTGCCCCTGTCTAGCGGGGGAGCAGGGGCAGGCCAGGGTAGAGGGTGGCTACCTTGGTTAGACACAGCTCACCTGCAGGGGGTGACAGGGAAGCTCCGAGCCAGGCAGCCCGGGTCCCAGCAGAGGCTCAAGCACCTCATATAGTGGCTCGGAGGAGGTGACCCCAAGGCTTGGAACCCCACCCCCTGTTCTCCAGCGCACCTGAATGGGGCCTGCTTCCCAGTGGAGGCTTCCAAACCCTACTTCCTGGGCTGAAAGGGGAACACTTCAGGGTCTACCGAGGACCAGATGACGGGTCAGGTGGGGAATGTCCGTTGGGTAGAACAAAATCGCAGGAAACACTCTCCTGTGCTGTTGGGAAGTCTTAAGAGTGGGCCTGCCAGAGGGACTCTGGGGGTGCTGCTAGGGGACCTCATCTGCGGGGTGGGGAGGTACGTTGTGCTGCTGGCCAAGGCCACCCCACAAAGGCCTAGCTTCTTACTAGTCCAATATTAATTGTTTTATATACTCATCAAGGTTTGGAGTGAAGCTGGACAAAGTAGCTGCCCGCTCCACACCTGGCAGACCCAGGAGGCAGCCGTCAGTACTGGAGGGCCTGGTCCCCAGGGTCTGAGATTCCCCTCAGCTCAGAGCTTCCACATTCTGGCAGAGAAGCTGTCTACCCCATTCTCCCGAGTCCTGCAAGGGAGGGGGCTGCTAGCCTAGCTGTAGCATCACTTTCTCCATCTCTTGGGTACCTCT